GAGAGGCTGTTCTCAGGGAGTCCAGTTTTGAGTCAGAACCTTTGAGATGACAAGTCACCCTTTTAAGGGTCTCTTAGCTATTACCTTCTTGGTTTCCAGCCTTCTCTGTCTAGTGATAATTTATCTATCCTAAGCTTTTGTATGGCATGATGATGAATAATAATAAGTAATGCCACCACCAGAAAAACAAGATAAACAACCCCAGGGAACATCCTTAGATCTAGGATTGAACTGAACTCCCCCTGGTACAAACCACTATGCCCTTTAGACAATTAACTGCTGGCACTTGCTGCATGCATCCGGAAGGCAGACTATGTGACAGATGCAAAGTATAGAGTGCTGTTGTGTTGTGTTGTTCCAAATCCAGCAATGAAAGCAGAAGCCAACAGGTAATATTGAGTATCTGATTGGCAGAAATCTTTTGAAAGTAGCTTTGCAGCATTTTCCCTTCACATGATGACTGGAAAACGCTGTCTCCCTAGCTGCCCTTCCATTGTTAGGAGCCCAGATCCTGCTTTGTCCGCGTTCTCCTTTTCTTCCTCAGTCGCCTGATTCCGATGTGTCCTTCGGATTTTCCGTCTCAATGTCCTGTCTGTCCTTGTTTGCCCCGGGTGCGTGTGCGCGCCTGCCCCGCCTCTCTCCCTGTTTATCTCGGAGGGCTCATTCCTCCTCTCTATACATTTACCTGCCGCGGGTGATACTCCTCTTCCTCTGGGCACTGCTCAAGAAAGTCTCTGTCTGGCTCCTTCCGCCCCTGCTCTTTTCCCAAGTGTGATATTGCTGCCCCCCATCACACCCCTCCCTCCGACCACCCCTCCCATCTTTAAAAAAAAAACCGCAGCCAGCTCCTGCTGCGTGTCCTTAAATCCATTCCCTCTAGCCTTGCTGGTTTGAAAGCCTGTACCCTGGAAGGGGCCTCCCAGCTTTCGTTGGCAACCCTGCTTCAGACTGATCGCCACAGATAGTGCTTTGGAGTGAAAAAACCCCTCCCTTCTCGGTGAGATTTCAAAACAGATCGTAGCAACCTTCAGAGCTGTGCACTTGTGTAACCGCGGGACCTGGGCTTCCTACAAACAAATAAGCAACTTCTGAAGTGGTGTGTGCATGTGTGTGTATACCTTGCTTTTCCAAAAATAAATCAGCCCCCCCCAGCCCTTTAAACGGGCTTCCCCTGGTACCGTCTCTCTTTTGCTCTGGCACTGCGGGTGGGTTCAGTGCATTTCTTGTTTGTGTGCGTCCCTTCTGATGCCTTTCCTTCCCCGTGGCGGTGAAGGGGAGTTGGGGGGGGGGGGGGGGGTTTGGGGGGGTTCTTTTTGAAATGGA